ACCTGTACAGGATCCTTTAACTGATGTAATTTGTTTCTGAGTTTGAATACCACCTTTTATTGCTGCATTATTAAGAATTCTGAGGTTCTCTCTTTGTATGGAAGCATAACCGATATTTTAAATCCCATTTCGATAGTGTTGTGATATTTCTGTGTATATTCATCATGCATGTCGTCGTAATTATCATTTTTAATTTTATTCTAACAGTTTCGACAATACTTCCTGAATAAGATATCGAAATAATTGCCAATTATCTAAGCTTCTGTTATATGCCTTACTTCCTGTCTGTCCCATACATCTGTGAAATTCTACTGTGGTGAGAGCTGGCTGCAAGCCAAAAATTGTAGACAGCAATTGACGTCAATGTTTACCTCCCGAATCGGAGTCATGAGAAAAAACAAACAAGAATAAAACTTAACCCCGACGAACTCACCAACCAATCACAGCAGACTTAACGTGTGCAAATACGATTCGTAGATATATGGCCTGACTTTCTGAGAAACATCTGAAAAGATATGACAGAATAACCTTCGGCAAGCAACCAACCGCATCGGTGGCACTGCGGTTAGGACGCTCGCCGACCATGCACATGGTCCGGGGTTCGATCCTCGGCCACCGACGCACTCCTTTACCTCGCTAAGCCAGAAGAAATGCTGGTAAAGAGGGAAGGTTGGGCATGAGGCTAGCAATCCCATCCTGTAAAAATAAACACTGCTACAGAAACTTCAAGTCACTAGCTTGAAGCCCTATGTTCCACTGGGAACGTGAAGGAAAAAATATTTATTATTTAAGCAACCATCCAATCAGAAGACGTTGCTTGTCTGCTAACAATAACGTTAATAATAATGTATATAAAAATCTATAAATATCTGTTGATTTTCTCAAAATAAACGATCTGTTGCCTGGCCCTTGGCTTCTGTCATTACACCTCTGAGACAAGTGGAAAGAAACAAAGAGAAATACAAAAACAAAAGCTCGAAGTTCTGCAGTTACAGTTGGTGATATAGTTATGTGACAACAAATCCTGTTCAAAACTTTGTTGTTCTGTACTGCTCCCCTTCATGTGTACTGTATCCAATAAACAAGTAGATATGGTTGGTTACAGGTTTTATCAGAAACTGCCATCAGTTACAGAACTAATTGAGAACTTTGAAGTACTGTACAGAGTTGTTTCGTCCCAAATTAGAGCTCTTCAGCATTACTCACACCCCGAAGTTTAAACCAGGGGCGTTGCAGTTACATGGCGAGCTTGTTGACGATCCAGTTACCTGGATACCAATTCAGTGGCTAATGAATTCCAACTCTTGACAACTCGTGATGTATAGCAACACTCCTCATCAAATCTGTAACCAGCTAAATTCCTGCAAACCAGTACATGGAAGTAAGTCTGATGCTTACTAGCGGCTGGCTCTATACCGAAAGTTACCTGGAATTCTAGTAAGAAGTCGTGACCAGCAAGGTCCGATAAGTCAGGTAAGAGAATACTTACTAGCCTGTGACATTGACTTGCGACACCACTATACATCGCGAATTGCTACAAGTTGAGTTCATGGGCTATTGGATCTAGTCTCAATGGCTGAAGAGTATAAGAAGTCACCTTGCAACTGGAAGGTCCTCGGTTCGAATCCCGATGGGTGCATGCTGATGAAGGGTTCCAAAACTAGGAAGAAACATCTGTTCAGTACTTCCTGATTCTCCAATGGCTCTGCGACGGGTGTCAACTTGTCGTTGAACCCACAGATTAATATAGATTACGTACTGGTGCATTGCCCAAGTTTTTACACATAATAATAATAATTTGTACATAAATCTGGCATTCCAATAAGACCTATATTATCTATTGTAACTTCACCACTCCATAAGCTGCTTGTTGACTCACCAGACAGCTAGAAAGGATGCTTTCATGAGAGATAGGCAGTATATTGTATATATTCGCTCATAAATCAGAATATATCTAAACATTTCTTTACAAATTCAGATTATATTGTTTATTATTTACGAAGTATACGGATTGTGTGCTTTTCAGTATTCACTAACACCGTCTTCACCCCAAAAAAGAAGAGTTCAGCTGCCTTCTAATGATGTGTTCATAAAACGTATAGTTTAAGTTTGAAAGAATTCCATGTATAACTAGACTGATGAAATTGTATGGAGCAGTCGACTTGGTCCCCATCTTAGCGGATGCCTTTATGTAGTACTGTTATATACTCGTCGAGTAGTTAATAGTCCTGATGCGGAAAGAGGCAAATCAGAAGACCATCAGGTTTACGATGATGCTTGTATTTTCCAGACAAGGAAAATAAATGTCACACAAGAATGTGAGTGAAATGGTACGTAGTGTACTAAACGTGGGAACAAGTATGAACAAGTATACAGTACAAAAGTATATATGAAAATGACTAATACATATGAACCAATAAATAGACAGTCTTAACACGATTAGTTGTAATGTCATGTGACAATAAGGTCATACATTTTTATTTAGTTAGTGGAGAGACAAAAGCATATTGTCCTTCATAATGAAATATAACAGACTGTCAAAAACAAAACACACATCTTGTGGATACATATCAAGTACCTTGAACAGCCAAGTTTGGAAAACACAATAGATTGAGGCGTAGGTCTATAATACATCTATTATTATAGGTAATAACGGAAAACAGGAGTTTCATCTTCATGATATATATATATATATATATATATGTTTCGTCCTAGTTTGGGACGAAACGGCTGTCCAGTACTCCCAGGTTTTCCAGTGGTTCTCTAACTGATGTCAGCTCATGATTAAATCCTCCATGCAATCAAACAAAATCCCTACAAAAACCAATACTTGAAAAAATATATATATATATATATATATATATATATCGAATATATGGCCACACGACAGCATTTCGATAAAGGATGATCGAAGTCTACCCATTCTCAGCGGTATTGGATCATTTTATGGGAGCGTATTTTACCGAGTGGCACTTGGCAATTCATTTGGTACTGTGTGATACTATGCACTATACAGACACCCTGGTCAACGGATAGCGGGTAATAAAGTCATCTCAAGTTTAGACAAACAACGAGATTTAGCCATAATCGTATTACAATCAGTGTTAATAACCATAATATTATGTTATGATGGATGACCTTATGAGATTAAATTGGCTGGTAAGTTAAGAAACAATATTAATCGTAATAACAATATTAGTGTAGAGAATAATAATTGTCCTGCAATATAGTAGATAAACTGTAGTTTCTGCTTATATGTCTAAGGTATTTATTATTCTTTGTAATTCAAAACTTTTGTGATAACCCTAATTCTATGGATTAGTTTTCAGAGGAGTGTTTGTGTGTGCATATATCAGAATAAACAAACATTTTGTTTTTATTTTATTTTTTTTATACTTATTTCGCCCTTATAAATATTGATTCTTCGGTTACCTGAAACAGAAAAAGTGTTGCGTGACCGCAGAGCCTAGGGGACAACTGTTTGAGGCCAGTCATACACAGCCTTATGAACTGACTTCTTGGATTGGTTCCGTATTAGTAAACTAACCGCTCGTTACGGACCACCGTAGGGTAAGACGGGATGTACAATTGTTGGGGTCAACCTTTTATAACCCCCTCTCTCCAAAGTGGAGAGATAGCATAGCTGGTTGGCTTGGTGGTCATCTGAGGGAATAAATCTTACTTCTGTTATATCCCTGTTCCCCAGCAGTACGACTTCGCCGGCAGCACCCCAACATAGTTTAAAAAAACTCTTACACTCTGCCGGAAACTGTTTTTAGTCTAGTCGCTATCTTAACAATCTTCCTGGCTTTGTAGGTACCTGCAGTAGCAAAAGTTTCAGCCAGTATAGCTTGTTGGGGGTCGTTACGATATGCGAGCCCGACCACTGCGTCAAGGAAGCAGCTATTGATCGGGCCTTTATAAATATTTACTTGTCAAGTCTTACTTTGCAGGGATTTGATTGGCAGCAGGATTGATCACTGGCTGATATCATTAAGAGAAGCATTGAAAACCAACAGACAGAAGTACTGGAGAGCCAGCTGTTTCCTCCGTCCTAGTGCTTGGGACTCATCTGTAGTACCCAATCACTACCAGAGTTCGAATTTAGGACCTCCAACTTACAAGGCAAGCTTATAGATCATTAAGGCACTGGGAATAAATCCAGCGGCCTATGAATTCTGCCAATTCGTAATACATATATAGCTCAACCGTCAGTTAATATCATCGATCGATGAGTAGGTGTTCTCTCCTCTGACTTGATGGACTCTGCTGGTTACGACTTCTCATTAGAACTCCAAGTTCGACCCCCCAGTGGATGAGTATTATTGATGAAAAGTGTCAAACACGAACAAAACATTTATTCAGTAATCTTTCTTGTGTTTCGCTAACTGATTTCATCTCATGACCAAAATTGCAACCAATCAAATCCCTACAAATCAACGCTTGAAAATTAACGCATACTAGCCATCACTGGGACCCGACTCCTCAATGGCTAACCCATGAATTCTAACTTCTCCCAATTCGTGATTTAGCGCAACCCCAACCATTGTCGTTGGTGGGACATCCATCCACACACGTGACATCTGGATGGACCTCACTAGTCACGACTTCTCTCCCTAGAACTCCGGGAAACTCCATCCTGTAGCAAGTCACTATAGCGAGCATCAGATTAATTTTCTATAGTTTGGTTTTGTAAGGGTTAGTTATGTTAATTTTACGAGTTGATCACGGATTGAAATCATTTAGAGAACCATTGAAAACCAACTGGGAGTACTGCCAGACAGACAGCTGTTTCATCCTAGTTTGGGAATCATCGGCAGTACGCACCCAAACTAGTCGGATGAAACAGCTGTCTGTCCAGTACTCCCAGTTGGTTTTCAACGGTTCTCTAAATGATATCCAATCCGTGATCAACTCGTAAAATTAACATAACTAACCCTTACAAACTAAATTATAGGATATTCTTTGCTCAATTGTTTTGTGTTTTATAGATATCTGAATGAATACTTTCGCTATATTAAATTCATAAAGAGAATTAATAGTTTTAAATAATTGTAACATATTAAAAAAAAATACATATGTATATATGTACAATGAAATGGTATTCTGTACAGACTGTTACAGTTTACACACATCCATCTGGGATACGGTGGGGGCGGGGGGGGGCTGTCACGGGGGTAATAGATAACAATATACAATGGAATTCATATCCATCCTTCTTTCTATATGAATTCAATGAGATATATAGATGAGAATGAATAAGAGGAATAAGACGCAAAAAGCCGACGTGTCATTGACACAAATCTGGAGATAATCTCAGCGACAACATGTTCACCAATGAATGATTTAATCAATATAAACACTGAAGTGTACGGCATACACACATGGCATGCAGAGTTACACATTTGATGAAAGGGAATGAGAATGAGAAGGCAGAGGATAGGGGCAGTGAGAAGAGAGACAATAGAGTTCACCTCATGTTATCAATTATATACAATAATGAAGGGAATATTTTATTTTTTCTTTTCTTTTTTTTCTTTTCATTTATTCACCTCTTTAACTGTCGTCATCATCTTCATCACTGATAAAAAAGGAGACAGGATTGTTATCATCACTTTGGTGTTGGTGTTGTTGTTGTTGATGCTCTTGTTGGCAGTGTTGATCATACGATAACGAGTCATTTTGGGGCATAACTTGATAATTGCTTAGATTATATCCTGTATAATCATCAGGTGTATGAACACCCTCGACGCCATCACCATCACCTCTGTCATCGACGTCTTCTTCATTGCCAACCAGATTCTATAGAAAAAGAAAATAATAATCATAATAAGTTGATCACGGATTGATATAAGATAGAGAACCTCTGAGAAACCAGGGAGTACTGCCAGACACCTGTTTCCTCCGTCCTTGTTTGGGAATCGTCGGAAGTACGCACCCACCACATGGGGGGGGGTGGAAACCCACGACCTTCCAGTTACAATGCGAGCGAGCTGGCTCGTATACCATTCAGCCATCACTAGGACCCGACTCCACAATGGCCAGTCTATGAATTCTAATTTCTACCAATTCGTGATTTAGCGCAACCCCAACCATTGTCGTAGGTGGGACATCCATCCTCACACGTGACATCTGGATGGACATCACTGGTCATGACTTTTCACTAGAACTCCATACTGTAGCAAGTCACTAGCGAGCATCAGATTAATTTTCTATAGCTTGGTTTGTAAAGGTTAATTTTGTTTTTTACGAGTTGATCACGGATTGATATCATTTAGAGAACCATTAAAAACCAACTGGGAGTACTGCCAGACAGTTGCTGTTTCATCAGGAGTACGCACCCACTGGGATTCGAACCCAGGACCTTCCGGTTACAAGGCCAGCGAGCTGGCTCGTATACCATTCAGCCACCACTGGGACCCGACTCCTCAATGGCCAGTACATGAATTCTAACTTCTGCCAATTCGTGTTGAAGAAATTGGAGATGGATTGGACACACGTCATCCAGAAGACCACCACTGTCGAGTAACATCGCAAGTCAGGCATTACTTCGAATGGAAACCGAATGGAAAACAATAACTGGAGTGTTGTCTCGAGAGTGACATGGTGAAGATAGTGTGAAGAGGAGGAGGATGAGGAAATGAGAGACTATGGACAGTCACGGGGCCAGCTGAAGACAATCGCAGAAAGTACGGCAAAGTGTAGATGTTCTATTGAGGCCTTATTTTCCGTTCGGAACCCAAGGAAACAATAATAATAATGATTTAACCTAGAAACATTGGATAACTATTCATTTCTTTTTAAAATATAGATATATAGATCATCGATTTAGGTAGTCAACTCCCAATCGAATCAAGTTCCAGGTTCGAACCCCCTACCACCTCCTCTTTTAGCCTGAGCAATTACGGAATAAGTTATATTAACCTTGACAAAATAAAATATGACTTATAGCCCGGTATATGTAAGAAATCTGATCTTAGGAACGATGTTCTACCAGTCGCACTACTATCCATATCATAAGATAGGAAAGAGTACAACAAAAAACCCTATGATGTAAACGGGGAAATGAATGACTACACAGAGTGAATAGTAGTAGTAGTATTTACTGGAATCTCGAAAGTTACAGGTACAATGGGCATGCGCATCTGTACTTCATTGAACCATGTGTGACCACCAAAACCACCACCCATAAATCTCTCTCTATACAGCTACCATTAGTTCTTAGTATTTTGAAGGATCCATCCCTCAACCGGACCTTGACACGATTTTCGATTACTACGCTACATTTACTTAGTGACATAAAACTCTTATTTCTGGTGAAATTTCTTGCCAAGAAGTAGTGGAAATCATTGTAATTATTTGCCTTTCGAACACTGAATCTGTCTGTGGATATAATCTGTCTATCTGTTTTCGACATAGAATTTTGCACCGACGTGTAGCACGCCGTTCAAGTCTTCACACTCCACTCCTTGTTGTAGCACACAAACCAACGGAAGAAAGTAGAAATGCATAATAGAGACAGTAAACAGACGTGTGAGACAAAGGAATAGTAATAACGAAGAACGAAACAGCTTCATTGGAAATCATAAGTCACAAGGAGTGGATGCATCTGCGCCAGCCACTGAGAACGACTTTGAGCTATATCACCAATTGTTTCCAACCATTGGTTTCTACCGTCCCAAGGACCCCAACCAGTCAAGTGGTCTACACCTTCATATGTGACTAGCTGGCTGGTTTAAACTAACTGTTGTGGATTTCATTGACTGGTGAGGGCATGTTTTGGTTTGATCGCCGCTAGCTCTTTTCCAGTCTGATCATATTTCAGCTAACATTGCTCGTCGAGAAAGTCTATGACTAGGCATACGTAGCACATATCCTAACCATCTGAGTCGATGTAGCTTCACAGCCTCGTCGATTGATTCCCCTCTCCTTACTTAGCACTCGACCAAGGCCCAACCTCAATATTGCTCACCCTATTACACCTACCACTTCACACAGGAGATAGAACGCAGGCACCTATGATTGAAGACAGCTAGTCAGGCTTTTCATGTCTTTTACTCTCAATGGCCAGGTCTCACTCACAGCCATAAAGGAGGACGCAGCGGACTTCTGAGCACTACACCCCCCTTTGGTCGACAGTCAGCCGGATATCACGACTACTAAGCCAGAGACAGCGTAAATTGGCATATTCGAAACTAGCCCTCTGTATCCGTACTCAGCTCAGATTTCGTCAGAGATCAACCTGTTGGCTCTAGCTGATGGTACTTCCCAAATAAGTGAAGCGGTCAATGTAGGCGTAAATGTAGTCCAGTCCTGTACCATCATTTTGCATTTGGCGGGAGCGAATCGCATGCCAAACATTCGTAGATTGCAGTTCAAGGTGTTCAGAACACTCAGCATTTTATCAGCGTCTTTACCTAGGAGGGAGGACTATATCGTCTGCATATTCTAAGTCAACGAGATTATTCCCTGGTAGCAAGTCAGTCTCTGAGTCTCTGAGGTGAGTTAGGGCTAAGTCCATCAGTACATCTATGATGAAGTTGAATAGAAATGGGGATGATGGGCATCCCTGACGGATATAATCTTGTTGACCGATAATACCTATAACTATCTGCTAGCCATTTTTGTGCTTGTCTAACACTAATTATCTATAATTGTATATATTGATGGATTTACATGTTCAAGTTGGCTTAAGTCAGTGAGTCTATGATTTTGGTATCATTTTTGTTAACTGTATCTGACTGTGATACTACTGCTAAGGTTATCTTTTCTCATTTTTGTTGTTGTCGCTTTGTTGCCCTTCGTGTTGTGAATTATTTTCCTTTTGCCGGTGTTGTTCTGATTACTTTATTCCTTGTTTTCTTGGTTTTAAGAGGAGCAACCCACAAGGTCACTTCTCTGTAAACTATATTTTAATGTAACAACCCCCCCTTCTTCTTAGGTGTGAGGCTAACAACCCCACCCTGCAAACAAAGTTGCTACAGAAACTTCAACACGATGAAGGTCAACAACACTACTCAGCATGGAAAGTAAGATCCGGATTTTCAACTCCAATTTGAAGTCAGTCAGTGCTACTCACTGTACGGATCAGAGACTTGGCGTGTCATAAAAAGCACCTCAAACAAACTACATAGCTTCATTAACAGCTCTCTTCGCTCAATACTACTGAAGATCAGATGGCCGGCCAGAAAAGATCAGCAACAGGGATCTCTGGCAATGAGCGAACCAACTCAACAGGAACCGACTGTGCGACAAATAAGCAGGAAGAAATGGAGGTAGGTGGATTGGATTGGTCATACTCTGAGGAAACCATCAAGTGAGTGACATCACTAGACAAGCCACTGCTCGAGTGGAACCCGACTGAAGGGGAAGCGGTGAGTTATCTGGTCGTCAGTGCGAGGGTGGAGTGACTTGTGGAGGAGGTCATGTAAAAGAAGAGGAGATGAAGGCATGTGGGGGCAGACTTGGAGCCAGGTGAAAACGCTGGCAGAGAATCAAACGCGATGGAGACGTGCGCAGCTGAAGCCCCATGTTCCTCTAGGAATTAAAGGAAATAATAATAATAATCCCTCAACGTTTTGCTAAAAAAAAATAACTTGAGACGACAGTTACCAAAAGTCCCATTATAAGTGAATTTGAGACAGACATCAGGCTAATCATCAATAATTGGTAAAAAATCAGACACACGGGTAAACAACAAAGTTTTAAACAAATAAAATATCGAACAAAATACTTGACGCGTCTGGATGTTACAAAGACGTGAATACAACAGCAGGGACAACAACAACAACAACAACAATAACAACAGTAAAAAAAATGAATAAATAAATCAATGAACAGACAAAGGTACTTTTAAATGACTAGTCTACATTCTAACTTGGAATTTCAGCCGGCTTTGTTGGATATCCGAGTTTATTATTATTATTCCATACTAATTTGTTTATTGGATGTGATGAGACAAGGTGAAACAGTACTATTATTATTATTATTATTTACTGGATGACAACGTTTTGAATACAATTCACATTATTGTTCATAATCATATCATCAATGGTAACGACACGACTTCGTAACTTTAGTTAATTTAAGTGCATAACTTGGGCAGTGTTATTATTATGATTATTGTTTTTTTTAATGCCTAGAGGAACATAGGACTTCAACCGCTCACGTCTCTATTGCGTTCGTTTCTCTACCAACATTTTCACCTGGCTACACGCCTTCCCCCCACATCCTCTTGTCTCCTCTTCACATCACCCCCACCCAACCTCGCACTGACAAGCTAACTCGCCGCTATGGCCTGACATGTGATTTCACTCACTTGATGGTTTGTTTTCTCAGAGTATGGTCAATACAATCCACCTACCTCCATTTCTTCCTCCATACTTGTTGCACAATCAGTTCCTGCTAGGTTGGTTCGCTCACTGCCAAAGATCCCTCACTATTTCTAATCTTTTCCCGCCGGCCATCTCATCTTGAGTAGTATTGAGCGAAGAAAGCTGTTGATGAAGGTTTGTAGTTTGTTGGAAGTGCCCTTCGTGTCGCGGCGTGGCGCCAAGTCTCTGATCCGTACAGTGAGTAGCACTGACTGACTTCACATTAGAGTTGAAAATTCGGATCTTATTTTCATTTTCATGATGAGTGCTGTTGACCTCCACCACACAGACTTGAGAGTAATGAAAGTTTGTGTTGCTTTCCAGGTGATCGCTGCTTTGATATCCTCATCAGTTCCGTCCACCTGTAGTTGAAACGATGCTTCCCAGGTAGGTAGGTAGGTATGTAGGTAGTGGAGCTTGCTTCTTTCA